AATCCTTAATAACATGCTGAAACCCAGGTTAAACAAAGGCGTTGATACTTAGGTAGTTAGGTCATAACTCTTTGCAGGACTGTATTGTTATTGGTGAGTTGATGATGTTCCCTTCTACGAAGGGCATCCTCTTACTCTCGGTTCATAATAGTGTCTTAACTTTGCATCTCTTGACTGAACAAATCTTGATGCCATTCAGCATTTGTATTCAGTGCTATCATTCTATGTTGTGAGAATTGCTTTTAGTAATTATACTGGTTGTGCTCAAATTCATGTTGAAACAGGATCTTGCTTAAATAGCTTCGGGGCTTGGCTTGACCCTCTTCGAGGCGCAAAGTTCATAATTCAGTGTGGTGGGAACAGATTTTCTTCCGTTGAATTTGGCATCTCTTGGAGTCTGAACACTTGTGGTTATTTTGAAGGCAGTTCTGAATGGATGCGCCTTCAAAGATACCTGGTTCAGGTGACTCTCGAGGTATTTGCTTCGTGGTCCTTTAACCTATTCAAGTCTAAACCCGCATGTTTGTATTTTCATATTTATATATTTATTGTGCTATAAAAAACAGGTCTAGACAAAGTTCCAGCAGCAAACATTTCTGAGAGGCTAAGAAATGCGTGGGCCATCCCTCTTGGAACTGCTGCATATCATGCCGCAACAGATGTTAGCTTGTTCTCCAGCTCGTTGCCTGTTCTTCCACATGAAAAATGTCTGTATAAACGTCTTTTCAATTGTTATATCTTTCCTTTCATTTTTCTTATAATTTCTTCTTCTAATATGCAGTAATCCCCAATGACTCTGAGCAATGTGGGCAATCGGTTGATGATAACACACCTAGACTAGGTGAATTTAATTTAGAAGAGGAAGGTAAAGGCGCATTTGGAGAGGATGAAACGAGGATGCTTGGGAACATTCTTCCTGGGGATGAGGATGAGCTATTAGCCGGGATAATGGATGATTTTGATCTTAGTGGATTGCCTTCTCAACTCGAGGACTTAGAGGATGATTTCTTTGGCAGTGGAGGGGGATTAGAAATGGAACAAGATCCCCAGGAGAACCTACTTAACGGTTTTGCAAGGTTGAGTATACCTGACGGTGTTCTTGGAGCTAGCATTGCACAATATAGCTTTTCCAATGGTTCTGGAACAGTTGCTGGAGAACACCCGTATGGAGAGCACCCTTCAAGGACACTGTTTGTTCGGAACATTAATAGTAATGTAGAGGACTCTGAATTGAAATATCTATTTGAGGTATGTTTTCTTTCTGTGAATAATTTATTTGCTTTGATTTTAGTAAATTGTTAAGTAAATTGTGTTTTTTTTTTTTTTTTTAATTGAAGCAATATGGCGATATCAGAACATTGTATACAGCATGTAAACACAGGGGATTTGTGATGATATCTTACTATGATATCCGAGCGGCTCGAACTGCAATGCGTGCTCTGCAAAATAAGCCTTTAAGACGGAGAAAACTTGATATTCATTTTTCAATCCCAAAGGTGCGAGCCAAGTGTGCATGTCTTTTTAACCGATCGGTCCTGTAAACATATGAGCTTCTAAGAATTATCATTTGTTGCTGCATGCAGGAAAATCCATCAGAGAAAGACGTTAACCAAGGAACTCTTGTTGTGTTCAATTTGGATTCTTCAGTATCCAATGAGGACCTTCGACAAATATTTGGGGCTTATGGTGAAGTCAAGGAGGTGGCGATTTTTTCTTACTCATTTTCTATTATTACTATATTATGCTGATCTTATCTGTCAATAAAGATCCAATTTTTTTATATGAAACTCGATGAATTCTGGACATTTTTGTTACAAATGCAGATCAGGGAAACACCACATAAACGGCACCATAAATTCATTGAATTCTATGATGTTAGAGCTGCTGAGGCTGCTCTTAAGGCGTTAAATAGAAGTGATATTGCTGGGAAGCGGATAAAGCTTGAACCTAGCCGGCCCGGTGGAGCCCGTCGGAAGTATGTACTTATTGCCTTGCTCTTTTACGCCCTCATGTTTGTTAGGGATGGGCATGGGTTGGGAGTGGGTCACACACAACTTATCCACAACCTTTATAATTTCAAAACTCCCACTGTCCCATTTTATCTGTATTCATTGGTCAAACCAACTATTTCTTCTTTGTTTATTTTCTTTAGTATTTTTAAATTTGATTTTATACGTTTAATAGTACTTTTAGTGTAGTTTCTAAATATATAAATTTTATATACTAATACTAAACTTAATATTATGAAAAATTGGATTAAAAATAGCTTCAGTCAAGCCTCGTTAACTGAACCAGATACATAAAATGGGACGGAGGGAGTATAATACTATAATTCTTTATGCAAGCTAGTAATGATTGAAAATATATAAATGGTTCTACTCCCCTTATTTTTCCTCTTAGCTTGATGCAACAATTGAGCCAAGACATGGAGCATGATGATGCCCGATCTTTTAGGAATCCAGTTGGTTCACCGGTTGCTAACTCTCCTCCAGGTACATTTTAATGATGGCACATGATATCATATTGTCATCCTTGTCACTAGCATGATATATGAGCTGAAATGGTGACAATATCTAACAGGAAGCTGGCCAAATTTTGGCAGTCCAGTTGAGCCGAGTCAATCACACAGCTATAGTAAATCTCCTGGTTTAAGAAATTTTAGCCCCGTAAATAACAATATGTCTGGGTTGGCCTCCATTCTTCCCTCTCACCTCTCAAACCCTGCAAAGATTGCACCGATTGGTAAAGACCTCGGAAGGGTTAGTCATGTGAGCCAGGTTAGTACTGATACTCTTTCAGCCCAAGCAGTTGCTTATCAGCATTGTTATTCATTCCCTGAACAGAAACTTAGTTCGAGTTCTGGACCTGTCTCATTTGACGACTCTAAGCCATCTGGAATCGGGACACTTTCTGGTCCTCAATTTCTTTGGGGAAGCCCGCCTGTTCACTCGGAGCGTAATGACTCTTCTATCTGGTCGACATCATCAATGGGGGGTCACCCGTTTGGTTCCAATGCTCAAGGACAAGGCTATCCATATTCCCGTCGCCAGGGCTCACTCCTTGGCTCTCACCATCATGTGGGGTCTGCACCATCTGGAATTCCCTTGGAAAGGCATTTTGGGTTTTTCCCCGAATCACCTGAAACAACATATCTAAGCCCAGCTGCCTTTGGCAGTGCAAGCTCTAGTCGTAATAATGGAAGCCGGGGAATGGGTATAGGTTCCCCTGGGGTTATGAATATGGGAGTTTCTCTTGCAGGGACTTTTACTGAAGGTGGTTCTCCTACTCCTAGAATGATTCCATTGTCAAGAAATAGCCCTATATTTTTCGGAAATGGTTCATATGGAGGAATTGGAGTGAATAATAGTGAGTTAACTGGTCGAAGTCGAAGAGTTGAGAGTGGGGACCAGATGGAAAACAAAAAACAATATCAGCTTGATTTAGAGAAGATTCTGAGCGGGGAAGATATCAGGACAACTTTGATGATTAAAAACATCCCAAACAAGTAAGAAAGATCTCTCTGTTCAATTTACACGATGTTTTCTTTATGGAACTGCCCAACAGTTACAGACTTACATTTTTATTTCCCATGAAGGTACACTTCAAAGATGCTACTTGCAGCTATTGACGAGACCCACAAAAATACATACGATTTCCTCTACTTACCAATTGATTTCAAGGTAATTGTAGTATCTTTGGCGTTTACATTTATTGGTAGTTTTGACTTGGAACAGTGTAACTAAATTTGTGCCATTTTATCCCATGGTTTTCTTTTGGCTTCAGAATAAGTGCAATGTTGGTTATGCCTTCATCAACATGGTGTCTCCTTCACATATTATCTCTTTCTACGAGGTTAATCTTCTTTTTCTCTCCATTTTTTCGTGAATTCTTGTTTTGTCTAATGGGTTGGTTAGATAAGAGAGTCTGCTGTTTAGTATGCTCCCATTAGATCAGACATTGCTTTTGAAAGTGAGATTTGTATATAACATACTAATTTATGCAGGTATTCAATGGAAAAAGGTGGGAAAAGTTTAACAGTGAAAAGGTTGCATCTTTAGCTTATGCAAGAATCCAAGGAAAAACGGCTTTAGTTGCTCACTTCCAGAACTCGAGCTTAATGAATGAAGACAAAAGATGTCGCCCAATTGTCTTCCAGTCAGAGGGGCAGGAGACTGCAGACGAGGTAACATAAATTATTTATAAATGTATACTTCTTCGTGTAAATGGTGACAGCTTTTATTTTATTTGTTCTTTGGTTCCCCATAAATTTACCGAGATAAACTAAGGATGTTTTTGGGTCACCCAGGAACCTTTACCTTCCAGCAACCTGAATGTTTGTATTCGACGGCCTGATGGGTCCTATACCGGAGACTCCCTGGATAGTCCCAAGGATAATCTCGATGAGAAGCCAGTGACTTCTACATTTACTGGAAGCGCCTGACCCTCGAATATGATGGCCGTGGATTCTAACTGTTAATAGATATTTCAGTACATATAATAAGTCAGCAGAAATGTGAAGATTGCTTTGAGGTTGTATGCTAGGCCGTGTCTGGTTTTTGGATGGAGGACACTCGGGGCATTTCCCGCAAGGCAGAGGGAACAGTTAACTTATGTTTTGTAGCGCACGAATTGGTAGTATTTAACACGGTGACAAGAATTCTACCGTCCGGGCTGCTGGCGCAAAGCATCTCCTTTGTGATCTTACTTGTTCATCGTCCTTGTAATTTCCTTGTATAGTGTTTTGTTATGGGGTAATGCTAAACAGGACACTAGTTAAGGATGTTGGTTCGGTTCTTTTCTTTTTGTTTTGGACAACATGGGAGTTGGGGCCTGGGGGGCTCCAATCTTTGTTTTACAAGTCCAAAATAAAGAAGAAAAGGATTGAAGATATGTCCTAATAGTAAAACCCTTCTTGTATAGTGGGTTTAGGGCAGTCTCTCAAGTGTATAGGATGCAGGCAAACAGACCACCTGCATCTTTTGAGTTTACTTGTGATCATGTACCTAGAAAACTGTTGCGTTTATGATGTTAATGTACATGGAATTTTTTCAATTGTATTTTGACCTCCTTACTCTGTAACAATGTAGTATATGTTCATAACTATTTTATTAACATACTGAAGCACAAAGAGTCAATACTGCTTCCATTGGGGATTGAACCTATGACCTTCCATTTGGGATAGTCATTTCGTGTCACTAGATCACAAAGTCATTGGCTGTAAGTTCCATTTTAGTCTTGAGAGCAGGGTTACAAAACTCAGCCACCTAGGCGCTAGGCGGCACCGAGTCTTGCCGTTTTGGCCTAAAGGCGGCCAAACGCGGCCAACTTGGCCGAGTCGACTGATTTCGTCCGATTTTGATCGTTTTTGACGGATTTCGTTCGATTTTGACCGATGTCGTCTTTCATTAATTATTGATTTTAATACTATTATGACGTTGACTTATAAATTATCATTATTTCATTTATTTAGATATGTTATTTGATTGAATGTTGAAAACAAGGTCATTAAAATTGTCAAACTACAAGTCTGTTACTATTTTTTTAAATTTTTTTGGTGCCCGCTAGCGCCGTCTAAATTCCGCCTAGGCGCTGCCCGCCCGCCCGACTAGCGCCTAGTTGCTTGAGAGAGAGTAGAATTGATTTATTGTCTCACTCAATTAATGTGTGATAAATATGTAATGAGTGTCTAATTTTGGAACAATTGGAACTCTATATAAGGTGGAAAACACAAATTTTACTTGATTGGTAGTATAATGTGGGGTTGGTGGTAAAGATTTAAGAGAGAATTTTGTGAGGAAACAAGCAATGGCGCAATGCAACTACGTTGTTGCATAGACTATTCAAACTTGAACCCTCAACCTTGGCATGAAAATCTTATGCAAAAGAAAGTAGACATCCACTTCAAATGATTGAACGTTCACCAACTCGTTAACAACAAACTGCATGACCCTACCTAACTTTACATGTGATGCACTCAACTCCATACCTCCTCAAACATAACACTTCTCAAATTTTTGAAACTCGTAAAATTTTAGTCACGATCATTAAAGTTTCACTTGAATTACAATACAATATAATATTGTAATTCTTCAATTTTTATTTCTCTAGTTTTCTTTTATCAAATTTTCCATTCTACACTTTCTGATTTCAAATTATAAAACGTATCTTGAAAAGGGTGGACGAGTGAGTAAAACATGATTTTCGTATTAGAAAATTCTTGTAGGTCAACCTAACCCCTTTCAGAATCTATATTTGAAATTAATAAAATACCATCATAACTAATGAGTAGTAACTAGTTGGCCATAAACACTTCTCATTTAAATGGAACAAAGAATATATAGTGATACATGGTAGTATGGAGCACATCAAGAAAACACTTTAATAAATGATGTTCACTCTATAAAATTAAATATATTAAGTTAAATGATATTTGAAACAAAGAATACATAAAATTAATGATACATAATAGTACCAATATGCAAATTTCTTGGCCAACTTGGGGCAGCATTATGGGTGGGGGACCACGTTCTTGACGGATTCGCTGGCTGGGATTATCTCTTTTTTGAATCGGGACGCGAACATGGTGGCTACTAGAAAAGTTACATAGTTTATTCTAGAGTTTTCTAACTCCTCTTTCCTCACCAAAAAAAAAAGAAGATACATAGTACATAGCATATCAAAAAAAGGCTTTAATAAATGATATTTACACTACTATAAAATGCGCTCGTTTCTTAGTGAAATAATATTTATGTGTTTGACTTGATATATGTATCACATGTGCTCAAGAACACTATTGTGAGGCAACTTCTTTTTCTTTTAATACATTAATTAATTTCTTCAATTCCAAAATGGAGTAAATATTAGATACAATTATACAATAATATTTCCCTAGAGTATATTCTCCATTTATAGAGTTTGAACATGATACGCTACCTAATAAAAAATTTACACTCTTTTTATTTGGACCGCAGATTATTTTGTATCAATTATAAATGAAATGATTTTTTTAAAACCTTCTTTTACCTTTACAGAAAAGATAAAAGAACAACGTCAAACACTCCTTTAATTAACAAGTGATATTGACTTGTAGGCAGTAGTGTCAGGTGGACGTTGGAAGTAGATTCATCATGATAAGTGGTTGATCCTTCATAATTCCCCATTATTTATGACACTTCACTGCACTCATTCACAGAAAATTGAAACAACACATACCACTGTATCCAATCACTGATCCACATTATCATCATCACTATATATAATTCTTTTATTTTAATTTCGAAAAAAATATTATAGAAAGATATTAATTTAATAAAAGGAGTCTGAATCACTTTATCGAAAAATTGAGACTTGAAGAATTTAAATTTATATATTAAAATCTTACGATTTTGGGGGGAAAACATTACGTTCAACCTGTGGAGTTGAACCATATATATGCAAAAAATTCAAGCATTATGAAAATGGAAAGGGGAGGCTGGTGACCAACAATTTAACCTACCATATCTTTAGCATGAGGGCAAAGAAAAAAGTAACGTAGCCCCCATGAAGATGGCATGCCCATTTTCCCGTGAAAGGTGTCCATGTAGAATCAAGAAAATGAGAAGTTGACAATATGAGGAAGAAAACAAAAAAAGACGAAAAACAATTTGGTCGGCATTTAATGCTTGCGGTGTGGGTAACCAAATGCAAATGGTCAAACTTCTCCCTACCTGTAAATTAAATTTCACCATGCCCAACCATGAAGAATTACTCCCTCTTTATTTATGTCTCGTAGTTTCATGCTATATTAAGTTATTAACCCTTTGCAATAACCATATGAATAAGATTTTGATTAGTTTTACAATAGTCAAAACACCAGATAATGATGATAAGAAATAAGGGAGAAAAGTAATTTATGGCTGGTTATAAGGAATTTATTATATTTTTCTTAGTAAAAAATTCAAAGTTTTGATCTAAGCCAATCATAGAAACTTTGAGACTATATAATTTTAAGTGATTAAAAGTATTTATTGATATAACAATAAGTCAATAACATGAAATTGAAGAAAACATACTAACCATTCATTCATTTGTCTACACATTGTTCACACATGACCTAGTTTTTTCTCTCATTCTACGTACAAATGCTCTCTCTCCATTCTTTTCTATCCATTTTATTTTCCCTCATATTTTCTTGCATTTTCTTTCCTTTCACTTACCAACCACCCACACTGTCCACACACAACATAAATATAATGCATTCCAAGATTTGACCATATATATGTTACAAGTAATTTTTTAGTAATATTCAAAAAAGTAAATTTTTAGTAATTCTGATCTTTACCTACACATACACAACGAAAATTTAATTTTATTATTAGTATTCTTCAAAAGAAAGTTATACAAAAAGTTAGTTGTAATAATTATTAATTTAGTGTAAAAAAATAAGAGTGAGAAACATAATACTCCGTAATTAATTAACTTTAAACATAACAATACAATGCTTTCAACCTACGTTGTGCATAGCCCGTCTTGTGGTTCTAGACAACAAAAGACTATAACGAAATAAATTAACCTAGGTTGTCTATGGTTGACTAGCTCAAACCAATTGTTATACCATGGATAAGGGTCCATTTTGTATTGTGGACCTTGGTCCAAAAATCAAGTGTTTGTAGTTGACATATTCTGTACTCTTGCAGACACATAATTTGAAATGTAAAATAGACCATGGTCCATTGTAGAATTTTTCAATTGAAACTAAGAAAGCAATAGACTGCGTCTATTGAAAATTCGTATCTAATTGATTATCAAGTTAACAGTTTGATAAATGGTTGGATTTTCCCAAATTATCCTACTTCAATTTGGTGGTTTAAAACCAATCGTTATGCCATGGAACCGTGGTCCCAACGGTGTTAGTGCACCGTTATCTCCTCTTTTTTTTTTTTCTTTTTTTTTTTCCTTAATTAATCGCCTGACTTTTCTTCTTTATTTTCACATTTCGCGGTTTCACTTTAATTTGAGGTGAGCAATGATTTCGGACATTCATAAATTATGAATCCATGCCTGCACATTCACTTTGGAACTATGCCTACACATTCCCGCCCGAAACCTGGCTGCTCCTTTGTAGTGCAAGCTTCTTCAACATTCATAAATTATGAATTTTCTGTTATGAAATTATGAATTTTCATAATTTTCATAATCTCATAACAGAAAATTCATAATCTAACCAAACGCGCGCCGTTAACAACACATTAGCGATTTTTTTTTTTTAATTTTTTTTTTAACATAAAAACGGCACCGTTTAGACCCGTGTTCACCATTCATGGTGAACACGTTTCCAGGGCATAATTTACCGTTTAAAACAGTATATACAACATGATACTATAAAAGCCCATGAAAAAATGCGTTGTACATAATAGTGAGTAGTATGATAGAATAGGCAACCCACATAAAGAAGCTAGGTCTAAAGAGTCTTGTTGAAAAGGTTGTTTTTCTATATACTACCGTTTAATGACTTGAATTGGGAGTTCAGCCACACTGTTATTTCGACTATAAATTCCCTCAGCATTTGTGACCATTCTCTTCATTCCTGCGTTTCTCTCTCTCTCTCTCTCTCTCTCTGCATTATCTCTATCTTTGTCGTCAATTCAAGCCTATTTGGTGTTGAAATTTTCAATGACAGAAGAAGCGGTAAAGGACATGGTGTTTCCAATGGTGGTACTGAGGCTAGCAGAGCGGCTGTTGTACAAACTCCTGGCCAACTCTTGTTACAGGACTGCTATGAAGCTCAAGAGCTACTCTACAATATTCTTCTCCAGAAACCCATCTTCAAAACCCTCCAATCACCTCTCTTCTTTATACCCTAATGTCACAAAATGCAGCTTGCACCACAGGGAAGCCCAAACTTTGGTGTGTGATATGCAGGGCACTCTGCTCAGATCCCACTCATTCTTCCCATTCTTCATGCTCGTTGCCTTTGAAGGTGGCAGCATTTTCAGAGCCTTCTTGCTGCTCCTCTCCTGCCCTTTCCTGTGGTTCTTGGATTTTGAGCTCAGGTCAAGGGTCATCATCTTCATCACCTTCTGTGGGCTCAGGTTGAAGGACGTGGACAGCGTTGGAAGGGCTGTTCTCCCCAAGTTTTACCTTGAAAACCTTAACCGCCATGTTTACGAGGTTCTTGCTTCTGCTGGTACTAGGATTGTGTTCACCAGTGTTCCTAGAGTCATGGTTGAAGGGTTTTTGAAGGAATATCTGAGTGTTGATTCAGTGAAGGGCACAGAATTGCACACCTTGGGGGATTTCTTCACTGGATTTGTTTCTCATTCTGGGTTGCTTGTAAAACATAGGGCTCTCAAGGAAGTTTTTGGTGATAAAATGCCTGATATTGGTGTGGGCACTTCAACCCTTCATGACCACCTTTTCATCTCACTCTGCAAGGTACATTTTAGCGTTTCAAAATAAGCTAGTATCTGCAAGATACACTTAAATAGCGTTTCAAAATAAGCTAATATCTATAGTTAGCGTTTCAAAATAAGCTAGTATCTATTTGGTGAAATGGGATTTGATTTTTCTTCTTTCTTGACTGGTTATGTGAAACTGAATGAACAGGAAGCATATGTGGTGAATAGAGAAGATAACAACAAGAAGGGTTCAGAAATGCCAAGGGAGAAGTACCCAAAGCCACTGGTTTTTCATGACGGGAGGCTAGCATTCTTGCCCACTCCTCTGGCGGCTCTGGCAATGTTCATCTGGCTACCAGTGGGAATACTCCTGGCAATCTTCAGAATATTCATCGGCAAATGCTTGCCTAACAAGGCGGCAGTCTTCCTGGGCAGTTTGAGCGGCGTGAGGATCCGGCTAAAAGGCAGCGACCCTCCGAGATCGGAGAAGGGGAAAGGCGTGCTCTACGTCTGCACCCACAGGACCCTCCTGGACCCCGTCTTCCTTAGCGCCGCACTGGACAAGCCATTGATCGCCGTCACCTACAGCCTGAGCAAAATGTCGGAGCTGATAGCCCCAATCAGAACGGTGAGACTGAAACGGGACAGGAAACAGGACGGCGAAACCATGCAAAAACTGCTGCGTGAAGGCGACCTGGTGGTGTGCCCGGAGGGGACAACGTGCAGAGAGCCGTACTTGCTGAGATTCAGCTCCCTGTTCGCCGAGCTGGCCGACGAGATCGTGCCGGTGGCGGTGGACACCGCCACCGCCATGTTCTACGGGACCACCGCCAGCGGACTCAAGATGCTGGACCCAATCTTCTTCCTCATGAACCCGCGGCCGTGCTACCGGATCCACATCCTGGAGAAGGTGCCCGGGGAGATGACGTGCGGCGGCGGCGGCAAGTCCAGCGTTGAGGTGGCGAACTATATACAGAAACAGCTGGGTGACGCGCTGGGGTTTGAGTGCACCAGTCTTACCAGAAGGGACAAGTATTTGATGCTGGCTGGGAATGATGGGATTGTTAAATGTTAATTGACCATCGCAAACAAACCTTAGCTTATTACTATTACTATTATAATACTCCGTAATAATTATTATTATAATTATTTACCTTATTTAGTCCCCTTGTTTATGCTATTGTAATTACTTATTTTAACTTGAGAAAATATATTAATTTATCACAATCATAAATAGGTATCCATCATATATAAGATTTCTATGATCATAACATTTCAATCTATTTATTGTATGTCAAACATGTAAAAATAGTTAAATTGATGATGAATTTATTGGGAAAGGGAAATGTTGGGAAAGTCAAACAATAAAGAACATTATGGAGGAATTGAAGAATGGGCCTTGGGTAGGGGTGGGTGAGGGACAAATTATACTGTTGATCATGGATAGAGATTTACTTGTAGCATGCATATTGAAGATGCCCATGAGTGATTAATAGTTGGGGGAGTACAGTATTTTAGAGAAGAGACCAAAGTTTGAATTTTGACAATGACAGTGTGAAAATTATGTTTAAAATGGATAAAAATTTTTTGTGTATCGACATTTGATTTTGTTTGTTAAGTTATTGAGTCACCGTGATTTACATTTTATGAAATGTTCTGTGGAATAGAATGTAGAAGTCCTTATAGTTGGGGATTCAACTTTTTGGAAGAAGAATAGTTGATGGAAGGCTAGGCCGGATCTATCCTATTGCAGCGTTAGGTAGAAATTAATGACTGCTCCCATTCTCTTTTCATTTATTCCTAATATTAATAATGCATGGCAATTGGCATGCATGATCTTTTGTGGTCTTGATTTTTTAACTTTTTTGTTCTTTTCTTTATTATTTAAAATTTTCTCATATCCATTTGTTGCCATACTAATATGTACATATAAACTTATAAGGAGTATATATTTTTAATTGCTATTTTGTATAAATTCTTTTTTTTTTTTTTACTTTATTAATTTGTCTATTAGTTGGCAACCAATATAGTGGATCTAAGAAAATTATATCATAGAACTCAAGATCTATCTTGCAAGACGAGTTTTAATCTAATATATGAACATAAATACATTATAAATGAATTTATAATATATTGAAAATAAACGTGTATAAAATATAATTAATTTGTTACATATTTCATGAACCTATACAAACTATTAAATGAACTTATAATATATACTAAAAATAAACATACAGTAAACAAAAATGAACTTGTATTAGGATCCATCTTAGAAGATAAATCCGGCGCCAAGATATAACAATTGTGTATTTTGTGTCAATTGATCTTCCCCATCACCTTGATGGGCTCCTTCTGTGAAGGGGCAAATTATTGTGTGAAACATGATCTACACAATGTTATGTGGAGTGTGGATCATAACAAAAAGTATATTTTTAATATACTAAATATAAATTATTTTTATACTATTTTGTACTGAATGTACATTATATAATATAATGTATACTCAGAATAAAAATAATATACATTACTTGAATATAATGTATATTATTTTTGTACTGAATGTACATTATTTTACAGTAGACAAAATATGGTCCACACAAGTTGTGCGGACCATGGTCCACACAATAATGAGGTATTTGGGCCAATCTATAATTTAAGACTGAAACACCATACTTTATTGCCCTCTATTACTGGACAGGGATGAAGAGATGGCCCAAATATCCTGTCAATTCAACTGTCCAATCCACAGAAAAAGGTCATGGCCCATTTGTCCATATTCAACAATGTATGTTTGGTGTATAATGAATGAGCTGAGATTGGTGGAGCGTTATGCTATGCATCCATGCATACGGATGTAAAAATGACGTCGTTTTGGCATCTAACTTAAAAAAAATCAAAATTGCATAATTACACATTCATAATTTCACTACATATCCATAATTTCATAACTATACATTCAGAATTGTATAACTACACTTTCAGAATTGCATAACTACACTTCCAGAATTTCATAACTAAAAAATCCAAAATGAATGAACTAAAAATGAATAACATAATGTTGTTGCTGGGAATCGAAACTGATTTTTTTTTTTTTTTTTTTTTTAAAGTAGGGCGCACGTTTTATGCAAAACGACGTCATTTTTGCATCCGTATGCACCATGCAGGGTGCATACATATGCACAACATACTTTGCCGAGATTGGTGTAATAGAATGAATTAGTATTGTTTCAATGGAATGGGTATAGCTTTTCAAAAAAAAAAAAATGGAATGGGTATAGAAGTCAATGAGTTGCTGTCACCCTTTTGCTTTTTTTCGCCTCTTTAGCTTTCTTCTCTTTTTCATTAATGTCTGTTACCCTTTCAGTCTCCAAATTACTGAGAAACCAAACTGTCAGTTTCTGGGGACCTTCCTCCCAGTGCTTCAATAATCTGTGTTAGTTTGTGTGTAGTGGAAGAATTCCTTTTACACCATTCCCAACAAGGATTTTCTGATCTTTGCAGAAATGTAGTAAAAGAAACAATGATTTATCTATCTAGCTAGCTTTAATCAAGATTACACTCTAATTTAATTTCAACTCCAATCTCCTCTATAACCTACAAGAAACCCCCAGATTTCACAAACATAAACACCCTCCTGCACACTGCTCTTTTTCTTCCTCAATTCCTTCCTTCATCTGCACACTTCCCTTCTTTTTTACACCAAAAAAGATGTCAGCTTGGTAGTATAATGATTAAAACAACAACCACTGTGACTGACACTAAAGCCTTGCCATTTACATTCTGTCTTGCAGCAAAAAGAAATGATCTTTAGTGCGATATATAAGCTGTTATCGATGATGATGATTACCCACCAGGCACATCACGAGAACCGTTAACTGGTAGTAAAAAAGAAGGAAACTACTTGTTCCAACAGCTTTTGAGGTTGAGGGTGTGATAGGTCCAGCACCGAAAACTCTAGATCCACTCGAATTAGTCGTGTTCAAGATTGATGCGCTCGTGCTGCATTTTTCAAAGGGTTTATAAGAGCTATAATAGAACACTTTAAGCAATCAAGAGAAAAAGAAAAAGAAAAAGAAAGGTAAGTATACTAGCTATGTTGTTCTCACCTAGTTGATGGATACTGACAGGCTCCAGAGCCTGCACATGCAAAAACAGACATGAAAAAGTCAATTAAATTGTTTGAAAAGATGTGATTTTTACTGTAAATGTTTTTCAAACTTAGGACAGAATTAACATGAAATGAGACTCACTGGGGTCAGTGTTGGTTGTGACAGCAGTGCCACCAAAATTGCAGCTATTAGGAATCGGATTTTTCTGGTAATAACTATTGAACGCATAGGAAGCGTGGTCACGGATACCGTTGGGATTGTAACAGCTCCCTCCGGGCTGAATGGCCGAACAATCAGCACCGCCATAGCCACACGCATAGTCCAAGGCTACCTGCAACGCGATTTGCGAAGCAGATTGGCTAGCAACACACCAGCTCGCGCTTGAAGATGACTGTGGGGACGTTGTAGGGAACGGTGTCATCACCGGATTAACCGGGCTCGTGGTGGTTGAATCGGGATTGGAAACTGTAGGATTCAGAACTGGAGTTGTGGTAGTTGGAGTGGTGGGATTTGCAGTTGGAACAGTTGTTATAGGTGTAGTGATGTCTCTTTGGGTGCTGGAAATTTCTCCCTTTACATTTGAACCTGAACAAATCAACATTGAAATCAAATGGGATAAATTTCAAGTAAAAAGTGAAAAATTAACACAATTTAAACACAAGAGGGGAGCAAGATTCCTTACCTGTAGAGAAAGTGACACCTAGTTAACTTTATCAGTGGAATGAAATTTCATTTCTTGTAATTATGAAGAGTACTGTCTTACTTATGCTTGCTTAACCAAAAAGCAGACAGTCTATTGTTACTGTTGTTAGTTTTTAAATTTTTCTGCAAAATCTTTTCAAACAAATAAAAAGGTAAATGGACCATATTTACCTATCTGTTAAAATGCTGAAGGCTCTTGAAAAGCCAGTCTCTTTAATGTCAAAGTATATATGAAAATTAATGTGAGACAACAGTTCAACTAACTCACCCCAGATTCTGCAGATTCATTTGCACAAAAACAGGACAATACATACATACATAAGCAGACAAAATTGCAAAAACATTTTTAGTCCTGCTCCTTTGACATCTGCAATGGATTTGTTAGGCCAGTGGGTACAGTTCAATCAAAGGGGAATTGAAATTCTTCTGAAGTTTGAACTGAGCAGAGGAGGAAGGAGTTCAGCAACCCAACTAAGTTAGTCAGGCTGTTGACTTGGTAACCACAAGATTACAAGTTCGACTCCCAGCAGGAGTGGTCTATTCTTGGTTTAAGCTGGTGGGTAGCCTAGACTGGTTTACTTGATCAGTTAGAGTCACAGTTTTAACCAGTACAATAGTGGCTACGGATTTTTCTTGTTAAAGAAAATAAAAGATATTCAAAATTTGAATGACCAAATTAAATACACTAAGGTGGCAATTAATGATGATTCTAGACAAGAAAAGGAACATTGAATCATCATGGCATTTTCAAAGTAGATCCATATGTTTGAATATAAGTATTTTGGGAAGGAGATTAGTTTGAAACTTTGACATGCAAATCCAACAAAGTAGCAAAACGTATTATCATGGATCACCATTTCTGTGCATGAAACAAAAGAATGAAGAAATGAGAAAAATTAAAGCACTAAAACACAGATATGGTGGCAATTATGATCAGGAAAATTTAGTCAGGCACCTGAAGAGATAACAAGACTGCAGCCCAGTTGGATGAATACAAGAAGACCCCAGAGGTTCCTTCTACACATTCTTCTCAACTTTTTCATCTTCTTCTTGAATTCTGGGTTGGTTTCAGCTTTCAACAGAGAGAGACAAGGCAATTGCAAGGCATTTCAAAACCAGAGAAACATGATATGACATCCTTGGAAAGTAGAGGCAATTGTGTTTATATACAAATTTATGTTGATAAGTGAGAAAAGATTTCCCTTTTTTGAATTTCTTTTGAGAGAGAGAGAGGGCAGAGAAAACTTGAGTGATGGAGTAGGGGGTGAGGGAGCAAGAAAATAAAAGGTGGGAAGGTGCAAAAAGGAGGAGAGAGGTGGAAGGAGGGAAGAAAAGATAGTGAAAGAGGGAATTGTTTGCAATTTAAGTGTGGGGTTGTAAGTTGAAGTAGTGATGGCAGTAATGATGATGATTTTATGTGCAATTTCTCCCCCACCCCTTCTCCCTTGTCACCTTGTGATATGATTCAGCTTTTACTATTCTTAGGACCAATGCCACTCTATCTCGTATGAGTTCTACTATATGTAATAGGGATATACCCCCGGTCACTGACCCATACGATCGAGCGTCACGTATCTCAAAGTTGATGGTTGGACTGTCTGTCCCTGTACCACCTACTCGGGCTGTTGCCCGGCCGACCCAACCGGCTGGCTGTTCCGAGGGCAGTCATCCCGACCGCGCTCCTACCTTAAGCCAGGATCGTTGTTGGACCGACCGACCCCTACTTGTCAGTCGGGTCCGATCCGGCCGCTATCCCACGACCCCCGGAGGTGCTAGACTTTAACCGCCGCGTGGCGGCTAGACATTCGGCATCGCCTGTGGCCAGTGCATGCCCGTCACGTGCCCGCCATGCCGAGAACCCGGAGATGTCCCTCTTTACCCTCTATATAAAGCGCATTAAATGCAACTTGAGGGGGACTTTTGGCATGAGGCTGGATCGGAGCTTCCCGTCCCACTGTTAGAAACCCGAGCTTCAGCCCTTACCTGTATACGTATTGCAACCCGTATATACTATATCAATATGTACTCTCTTAAATTTACTACCAAGACACCAACATCACCTCTAGGATACTAACTCGACAATAGATCTAGAGCTCGGCAAATACAATCCCAAACAAGAAGCACAAATCAAGGAAGATAGTTGACCGAATTGGAAGCTCAGTTAAACGCCTAGACCCACCCATATATCTCTAATGGTCATAATGATGTTACAAGTAGTTATGCATAACGAATTTTGTGATATGACAACATTGGAATATATCATGGATAACAGAGACACGTCATTTTATTACTTGTAATCATTTAAAATTTTAGACCTAAAATAACAATTATAAATATTATTTTTATACCTTGTAAAAGGGAAAGTAATTCAAATATTACCACTCTTAGAAACATCCTTGAATTCGATTCCAACAAATATGTAGCACTACGTGTTGAGGAAGGTAGTTGAGAGTGGTGGGCATGAGCCATCCGAGTAGCATATGTGTAGGTTGTTGTGACAGCACTCATGATCACACCCCCACCAGTATTTGCTTTCTCGAACAAACCCACTCTCCAAAGGACGTTAACCGACCATCCATAAACCTAAGTACGTACCTTAAATTGGCGATTATTGAGGACCCATGATTATATGTATATATTTTAACTCTTAAACGCAAATTTTATAAGATGCTGAATGTGTTTTAGAGCTTACCACAATAATTGCGCCTTCATTAATGGCTTTATTGCCACTCTGGGCCTATGGAGACAACGTGTAACAGCCTTTTTTTTTTTTTTTTAAAACAGAACACTTTAAATTTTATTTATCAAAATAAATTAAATGGTTATCCAACCCTTAATTATTTAAATAATACACAATAATTTTATCCATCTATTCTACTACAGATTAATTGATTTTATGATTATTTTATTCAATATTACGTTAATTAGAAAGAAATTCTTAAAATACATGAATCTTCTGGAAAAATGACATTTTTCCTCTTGAATTATAGAGATATAACTTATTTTCTCCTTTTATATGCATCTACTTTTTCCCACATCAGTGATTATTTTTATCCAACTGTTAACTATTTTCTGTTGACATCTAAAATACTAAAAGAGAGACTTTTTAGAAATATTATTAGCTAAATCTTTTAATATCATAGTTCGTTTAACTCAAATGCATGCTCAAAATAAATAAAATAATATGTTATAATTATTCATATTTCCGAATCTTAATTGCATGTCCAAAAAGAAAAGAATTGAGAAAAAAATTTATTGTCTATTATGTATAAGTTAAAAGAATGATATTATTGGGATATTTAACTAATATTTCTAGAAAAACTCTTTTTTTTTTTTTTGAATATTTACCGTGAATAAAAATAGGAGGTCACTTTAGAGATAATTGAGGGGAGGTGAGGGGGGAGGGGAATAAATTATATCATCATAATTTAAGGGAGAAAGTGTTAATTCTTCAAAAATATTAATTTTTTTTTATATAGTTGTATTTAATATTAACATTAATTATTGGAATTTTGTGTTTGGTCAGATTTTTGAAGAGTATTTAGTTTTTGTTTTTTTTTTCCTTGTAAATTATATTTAAAAAAAAAAGTGAAAACATTAAAAATTTAAATTAAAGTTGGTGATTGATGAGGATCTTGCCAAATCTTAGCCCAATTAAGCCTATACTTTTGACCAATAGATATCAACACTCTTGAGGCTATGGTGGAAAATTATAAATATATGTATATATTTTTAAGGTGGAAGTAAAGCTATTTCTTGGTTGTAGTTCCTATTTAATAGCCACTAATCAAAATTAACAGTAGTGGATTAGTGACTGGTTTATAATAATTGAATATGGCCTTGGCGCCGCTGCTATCACTTCACTCCTCTTTTTGCACAATAAAAAAACATTAAATCCACATCAGCAGACACAGATGGCAAAGTCTGGGATAAAGTCTGATGTAGTGAAAAAAGTGGTAATTATTAAGAAGCTGTCCATCAAGATTTTTGGAGCTCCCCAGAGCCCAAGGTCAAGCAAATGCCAAATTTTGACCATTCTGCATGAGAAATATATACTCATATATAGTGTTCATGTTGATTACGAGATTCCTTCTACAAAGACAACATGGAAAAACATGTAATCTTTTTCAGATTCTGGAAGTGGGAGTATATATACCATTAATTGTCGTTAAGATCACCCATGTAATGTTGGATCTGTGGACATTTTGTTTACCAGTATTGTTAGCTTAGATTTTGATAGCTGTACTTAGAAAGATTCTAATAATATTAAATAATATTTTTCTTAAGAATTTAGCTTACAATAGATTGATCTAGAGACAATGGGAGCGTTTTCGATTCCATGTCAAGAAGTCAGCAAATTAAGTGATTCGCGTGCTTGCACAGACAATTGTTTCCTCATATGTCCTGGGCTCGTGGATTTTTTCTCCACCTATCTCCGATTTATTGAGTTCTTAATGCAGCTTTGATTCGTTTTTGCTTAAAAAAAACATTATGACTTTTATTAGATTTTATATTAGATTTTAGATTGGGTTAAAATGTACTAAAAGAAACTATTTTCATTTTATTTTTTATTCATCTACCGAGGAATTGGCGGTAGTGAAGGATAACGGCCACTTGTCATCCTTACAACAGTGTTTTCTTCATGTTTCGCCGAACTCGTAAGCTGCCGGAATCTCAATTGAAATTTCCAGAGTTTCCCATATTAGATCTCTCTACAAAAAGCCCCAATCTTCATTCTTTTGGCTCTGCGTCCTTGCAAGATTCTTTGTCGGGTTCTTTATGGGTGCATGAATCCATCTAGGGTCCGAGTATCTTCACTCAACTACTAACAACTTCTTCTAGGTATGTGCATTTTCACTAGAACACTCTTTTCTTGGATAAAAACAGAACCCATTTTTAATTTAATACCGTATGAGTCTGAATTTGATCGAATGTCTGATATGTCACTGAATTCTTACAATTCTTGTGAGGCGGTTGTTTTAGTCTTGCTAAAATCCGACATCAATTTGTGAATTAATGTCAATTGTAGTACTATTTGTCATGTTCATTAGGTTGAGAAAATGGGCATTTGCAGAATTAGTCGTTTTTGCAGTGTCATTGGGGTTATCTTCTTCTCTGATGGGTTTATTCAATAAGATGGCTATATGAAAATTTGAATGCCCCTCTCTCACATTTCAGTTCCATCTTATGTGGCAACTGGCAAGGATATTAATGTCAAGAACATATTAGGAACATTCGATCATATCACTAGCTGCTGCTGAAGATTGCTAAAAGGATCATGCCTAGTGCAGCTGAAGTGAACCCGGGCATGAGCACTGAGGCGATTAACCAACCGAATCGCAAACAACATTTGTCCAGAGATGTCATGTTGGGTAGTGAATTGTGGACTGATGGCCTAATTTGTGCCTTTGAATTTGTCCGAGGCCCCTCGAAGAAAAAATGCGCTGTAAGATCATATAGGAAAAATGAATCCAGGTGCCAGAATGGTTGCAGAGTGGTGCCTACAAACTCAGTGTCTAAATGTGTGACCACTCATATATCACCTCAAGATATTGACAATAAAGATTGTGTGGAACCTTGTTCTGTAAGAGATTCTGAAGCTACCAACATTGATTCTGTGGATTGCCAAAATTATTGTGATGGCTTTCATCCCCAAGAAAGATCTTCGGGTAATTACTGGATACAAATCGGGTGGACCAGAATATCCGAGCTCCTACAGACAGTGCAAATCGATGCTGGTTGGGCATCACAGCCCTTTGATTTCACAGATGAGGAAGACGATGTCACTGTTGCAGATGTTGCGGCGCCCTATTGGGAACGCCCTGTGGGGCCTACATGGTGGTGTCATGTAGCGGCTGATCACCCGTTTATCAATGCATGGCTAAGCAATGCTCAGTGGTTGCATCCGGCAATTAGCATTGCATTGAGAGACGAAAGTAAGCTGATTAGTGAAAGGATGAAGCATCTCTTATATGAGGTACTTCTCTACTACTTTGACATCATATTCGAATTTGAGCTTATGGTGCTTTTCCTTTTTGCCCACTTCTTGAGTTCTTGCTCAATGTTAAATTACCAAGTGAACATATATGAGAGTGTGCTATATTCAGGTTCCAGTTAGAGTTGCGGGTGGATTACTGTTCGAGCTCTTAGGGCAGTCAGTAGGCGACCCTTATGTTCAAGAAGAGGACATCCCAATTGTCGTTCGAGCATGGCAATCACAAAACTTCTTGTTAACTGCCTTGCACATTAAAGGGACTGCATCGAATATTAATGTGTTAGGTATTACAGAAGTCCAGGTCTGTCAATAACTGTCGAAAGAATTTTCTTCCATTTCTCACATTAGTTGAGTAAGCTATTGAGTTGCTTTACTTATTATCATCGTACGTCTTAATGGAACAGGAACTGCTTGCTGCTGGTTGTTTTAATGCACCGAGAACAATCCATGAAGTCATAGCCCTCATAGCTTGTCGCCTTGCCCGCTGGGATGACAGGTGGCTGTTTTCAATTTCTAGTTATCCTTATTCATTGTTAGGTTATAGTGTGGGATAGTAATACTTAATTTCCCCCTATTGATTTCTAGGTTATTTCGTAAATACATTTTTGGGGAAGCTGATGAAGTTGAATTGAAGTTTATGAACAGGTTTGATGCTAAGTCCTAATTGGAGCACTTCACAGTTGATTTAATTGATTCCATGAGAAGCGGTTTCCTTTTTCTATATTTTGTAACTTGATTAAATATGCTTTCCACGTGAACAGGAGAACTCATGAGGATATGCACTTGTTTAGCATAATTTTGAATCAAGAAATCAGAAGGTTATCATCACAGGTAGCTTCATTTTCATGGATGTCATTGTGTTAAGATATGCACTAAGGCAAATCCCAGTGCTCTGTATAATTTATCGTCTATTTATATCGAAGTGAAGCATAACCTTTCACTGATAGGTTATAAGGGTGAAATGGTCTTTACATGCAAGAGAGGAGATTGTATTCGAGCTTCTCCAACACTTGAGAGGGAATCCAGCGAGGAGTATGCTTGAAGGGTTACGAAAGAGCACAAGGGAAATGATTCAGGAGCAAGAAGCAGTTCGTGGTCGCTTGTTTACAATTCAAGATGTTATGCAGAGCACTGTCCGTGCATGGCTTCAGGTACACCGTTCTCCTTGTTGAGCATATAGCCATTAACGTGCAATCCAACTATGAGCTTAGGCTTTTAGTTGAGATGGAGCACATGCTTCAATTTGGTATCAGAATCAGACTAAAGGTCATGGGTCACGTGAGGGGGCGTGTTGAGCATATAGTTCAGATGGAGCACATGCATCAGTTATAGGCTGGTTTACTTCATTGTGGTCCTTTTGCCTGCTTGAGTCACAAGGCGGGGTTTACTATCATATCCAAAAAAAAAAAGATGATATCATGGCGACATTTCAATAAAAGCATCTTATTACTATAGGACTATGATTTCAGGATCAGAGTTTACGGGTGCAACACAACCTAGGAGTCTTCGGAGGGTGTGGCCTCATTCTTTCTATTATCACCGGGCTCTTTGGGATAAACGTGGATGGCATTCCTGGAGCTGAAGGGTACCCGTATGCATTCGCCTTCTTTTCTCTCGCTCTTGTCTTGCTCGGGGTTGTATTGATCGTTATTGGAGTGATTTATCTGGGGCTGAAAAGTCCGGCCATTGAAGAACAGGTTGAGGTTAGAAAACTCGAGCTCCAGGAACTTGTGAAGATGTTCCAGCAGGAAGCAGAATCCCATGCTCAAGTCAGAAAAACTTCTCTGTTACCCCCGAGACAACCTAGTCCTAAAGGTATAATATCTGATGGCGAGAACTATATCCTAATTGGATGAACATTTCTTCCCCTGGATCCTGCATTGCAATTAGAAGTGATTTTGCAGGTTATCCCTGTGTTTTTGTTACATCTGAGAAGAAGGAAGAGAAACTACATTCTAGTTTTCACACTTTTTTTTTTTTTTTTTTTTTTTTTTTTTTTTTGGCATAGTGTAATGTAATCATGGGACGAGACGAGACTAATACAGTCGAGTCTTGGTCAGTTCCATTTAAGGATGGCTGTTAAGAGTTCATGTGTGATACTGCTAATACTACGTAAGCAATATAAAATATCACGAGACCAATTAAAGCAAGTAAAATCTTTATTGATCCCGGGAAAGGCCCTAAGTACAATCTACTTGGTTGTTCTGAGTACCGACTGACTGCGGTCGGGATTCTCTAACAACAACCTATCGATCGTCCAAAAGTCCCCTACACTGTAGCTACTGTGGGCATTTATAGCCGCTATGCCGGGGACAAGATTCCTGCCGCTCGGCATGTCTTCCACGTAGCCACCACGCGTCATCTTCCCGGGTGCCCTGCCTGTCGCCATGAAGAGCCGCTTGTACCAGCTCTTTCGTCGAAGGGCTACCGCTCGGTGGTTGACATCAGCGCTCGGGCAACTCCCGGCCATTCCCGACCGGGGTCTTCATGAAAAAAAAGCCCGACCTGCCACCTGAAAAGATCACAAGAGAAAGACAAAGGCAAATCGGTCGTGGTGGAGCGTATGTCGGTCGGGATATTCCCTACCAAAAGCCCCCCATCCCGGGCCTTTTTGATCAGTCGGGAAAAAACGGGACGGGATGAAGAAGCCCAACCGTCAGGCATTAGACCGACCGGCCAGCTGTCATTCCCCCCTACGCCACGTGTCGGCCTCTGCCGGCCTCGGCGATCCCATCCGTCGCCTCGGATTCAGCGCGGGTCGTGTCAGGCAGGTTGGCCCATTTCCCGCCTAGATGTCCTCCTATAAATAGGCCCTTGAGGCCCTCATTTGAACTTTCCTCACTCTTTCGCATCAGTCGGTACCCTCAGAGAGTCCCGAGCAGAGCAGCTTAGCAAGGCAGTCGAACAAGCAAACTTCAACTTTCAAGCTTCAAACTTCAATCTTCCTCCCATCGGTAAGCTCTTAACCCTCCTCTTTACTTTAGGCTCTCATTTATAGGTAGAACTGCTAGGTCAACTAACTGTCCCGGACGTCTCAAGTCCCTACTAACTCCGACCGACCTTTAGGTAGATCGATATGACGGACTCAGACAGTCAAAACGCCTCGATTGCTGATTACGACGAGGAGGTCGAGCACATCAGCGACGAGGAGGTGGACATTATGTCCTACACCCCGGACGCCAGCCCCCGAGCAAGCCGCCGAGCGAGACAATGCATCAAGCTCCTCTGGATCGTCAAGCTCAAGTTCGAGCGGATCGGGGAGCTCCAGCGAAGAAGAGGAAGAGAGGACCACGTCAAGCGGGCGGGGTTCTCCAACCGAGGGCGTTAGGGAAACGCCTACCCGGGTGGTTGGGGACCACCCGGAGGCTGCTCCTCGAGGGGGTGATCGAGAAAATACCCCGAGCAGACCGAAGAAGACCCGGCCGGGCCGGCCACACCAGCCGTCGAGCTCGAGTTCTTGAACAGCGAGAGCGTCGAGCAAGAAATGAGCCTGCTGTCCAAAGGCGAGGCGGCTCGGATTGCTGAAATACTCCGGGGTCGGGCAGAATTCGACACGAGCCGGCAGCTGGGAAACGTGATTGAGAGGCATCGGGGCAAGTGGATCGGGATGCACTACGACTCCCTGATGGCCCGATCGCCATTCCCTTCACCCCCCTCCTGAACGCCTTCTTGGCCTATTACCGGGTCGTCCCGGCCCAGATCTGCCCGAACGCACATCGGATCCTGGCCTGCTTCCCACAGATATGCGCTCGGCACGAGGCCGAGTGCACGATGGAGTTGTTTAACTTCATCTACCAGATCAAGGTTCTCCCGGGCCGCTACGGGGGTGGGTTCCTGATGCTGCAATCCCGAGCAGATATGTGCTCGATCAGAGGCTTGCCCGGGAACAACAAGGGGTGGAAAAACAGGATTTTCTCCATCAAGTACGACCCCTGGATCCTCCCGGTTGACCGCACTTGGAGCACCCACTTTCGAAAGCAAGTGGTGCCGGACGCGACCCAGGCGCTCAAGGAAACGGTCTCCCGGATCTCGAGCGAGCTGCACGAATACATCATCTTCCGGACGGCCGAGAGTCTGGAAGCCGCCAAGCTCCCGCCCCCCACGTACGAGCTAAGGGAAAAGTACCTGCCCGTTCCGGTGGGCGTGACGGTCGCCAAGCCGTCCAAACGAAAGAAGAAAGGTTTACCACGAGCTACTTCTCTCGACCTGGCTTATTATCTCGATCTAACTAACTTTCTTGTTTTGCAGCTATGGCGGAGTTCGGTGATGAAGACACCGCCCTTCCCCCACCCGTCAAGATCTCGCTCGGCGGGAAGAAGAAGGCCAAGACCAAGACGGCCGGGAAGAAGGAGATCCCATCTGCCCGACCTCTGAGCGCCTCGACCGTGACGACGGGCGAGGGCTTCATCGTGGAGCAGCCGGACGTTCTAGTCACTCGGGTGGAGGTCGCCCGGGGCAAGGAGAAGGTCGCCGACCAGGGCGCGACCGAGGTGGGCAGCCTGAAGCGCCGCCGTGAACAGCACAGCCCGACCCCTTCGGCCGGGCGGGAGAGGGGGCCTACATCCGTGCTGGCACGGATCGGCAATGCCGCGCCAGCCCGAGCGGACCTGGGGAAGATGACCCCGACCCAGGTTGCTGAGCGGATCGGCTACGATCTTGCTGAGGTAAGTCCCAACTTTTAATTTTTTATTGCCCTAGTATCTTTGATCGGGCTAATTTTGAGTACCCTTCTTTGTATTGCAGATCTCCCGGGCGACCCAACTTCTTCAGGGTCAAGCTATGCTGGCCGAGGAGGCTGATCACCACAAGAAGACGGCCGCTCGTCGTCTGAAGGAGATCAAGGAACTCCAGGCCGAGCTGGAGAAAACGCAGAAGGCCCTGAAGAAGGGTGACGAGGAGCGGGTGCTGGCCGAGAAGGTCGCCAGCCGGGCGATTGGGGAGGCCAGGGAGCTGAAGGCTCAGCTCGAGAGCCCGAGCGAGCTAGCGCGAGCAGCCTTCAAAGATAAGGACCTGGGCTCGGCCTTCCTCACAGAAGCCCGGGGAACGGCGATCGGTGAAGAACTGATCGTCTCGTTCGGCCGCTGGGGTTTTTCGGCCGGGAAGCGGAAGATGCTCGAACGAGTCCGTACCCGGTTGGAGCAAGCTTTGGAGGGGGAGGACCTTCAGCTGGTCCTCTCGGTCTTGCCCCCAGACCTAGCCGATCCCGGTCCCTCTCCCTTTGCCCCGAAAGCCAAGGCGTCCGAGCCCGGGGCATCGTCGGCGCCCCCTTCGAGCGGGAAGGAAGCAGCTGCTGGAGCTCGGGAGGCGAAGAAGTAGGCTAGGCTTGTCTCCCCCTTTTTTGTAATGACGATTGATCGGGAGCCCGGTCCCGAATTGTACCGGGCGCCTTTTGTGGATTAATAATATTTATTTTTGCTCTAACTTGCGTCGTTCGTCTTTTATCTTCTTGCTTTTCATTTTTCGCACACTGATCATAATCACTCGACCACTTGGCCTTTAGACCCGGTCTCGCGACACTCGATCCGCTCAACGGCCGATCTTACGACCTTATGGCCTGGTCGTGCGTTCGATGTTTCGACTTCAAAACTGGCCAACCGATCAGGTTTACCCGATCTCCGGGCCTTTGTCGAAAAATTTTCAAGCCTCTACGGTCGGAATGTAACCGAGCGACGGGCCGAGAACAAGCAAGCCTCTACGGTCGGAATGTAACCGAGCGACGGGCCTTGTACCTTACTTCCTTATCCCAGCCCCCACACTATTGTGCGCTCGAGGCACGAGTGGGTGCGATAGTGGACAGAAGTTGGACGGATCGGGGAATAATACTGAGAGCTCCTGGCTTCCCCGATCGGTGGCGTGACTTGAGTGTCCGCCTATGTGGAGCGCGTTTTGACCGGTCGACAGTCTTCACCCGGTCGATTGAATGTTGAACTGATCTGCTTATGACGAAGGTGAAAGAAAATAACCGATCGTGCCGCCGCATACAAACGGTCGAGCAATCATCGATCGTATATACATTAAACTTTCCCGCTCGCAGGCGGTTGAACTAATTTTACAACCATAAATTTACATAGAAACGACGACCGGGACTAACTCGCAGGTCCAGCCCCCACTTCGTCTAAAAATACAAAAGATAGGCTAATGCCTAAAAAGAACGAGGTGCTCGGAATTCCAAGTCCCCTCTATTAGCCGACCCGTCGTTGTCTCTAGTCGGTATGTTCCCGGCCGGATGACGGCGTTGATGATGTACGGCCCTTCCCAGTTCTGAGCTAGCTTTCCCCCTTCTAAAGGTTGACTGGCCTCCCTTCGTCGTAAGACATAATCTCCGACTTGAAAATAACGAGGGTTAACCCGAACGTCCTTCGAGCTCTTGACGCACTTCTGGTACTCGGCCATACGCCGAGCGGCTAGCTCTCTTTTTTCTTCGACCGCATCGAGATCCATAGCCATGGCATGTTCATTGTCCTCCGCGTTGTAGGTTCTCTCTCGATCGGTCGGGATCCAAGCCTCGTGTCCATTTCCCTGCGGGTAAGCGACAGACGACCGGACATGAGTCGTCCCGATCGTGGCCAAGAAATTCTGAAAATATTGGCTCACAAATTGGCGGCCGTTATCGCTGATGAGATGTACGGGCACGCCAAAACGGGAAACGACATTGCGCCAAAGGAACCGAGCACACTGCTGAGATGTGATCGTGGCTAAGGGCTCGGCTTCTATCCACTTGGAGAAGTAATCAACGGCGACGATCACGAACCTTCTCCGACCGGACAGCTGAGGAAAGGGGCCCAAGATGTCTACCCCCCACCTAGCGAAAGGAATTGCGGTCGTGACTGGCTGGTAGAAGGTTGCCGGTCGTCCAGGCATCCGGGCGTACAGTTGGCACGTCTCACACTCCCGAGCTAACTTTTCACAGTCTAGCTGGAGGGACGGCCAATAGTACCCGATCAACATGATACGACGGGCCAGGG